ACTTTGAAGTGTAGACATACCCTGTGTAATATAGAGCTGTAAATAGGCATTTTAGCACTTGGGTTGAGCAATTGTATGTGCCCCCTCTACAGGTAATGCGTGGGGACACATAGCCTTCCTCTCCCCTCCTGCCCCAATTTCTGCATTCCATTTAACACAGAAGCCTTCAAATTCTGGGGGCACGTCTTACAGATGGAAGACTGTCACCTCTTGCTAGGAGCTGGCAGAATGAAAGCTGTAGGAAGCTATCTGGCCTGCTTGGGGCCCCTAGCTCTCAACACCAGTGTCATCCTGAGGGGGGTACATGGCGTGGGACAATCCCCCCCCCACACCATACCCCAGCTGGGCTTGGGGCAACTCATCACTGCAGGCTTGACCCCAAACCCCGCCCCCACTCTGCTCCCTCACTCCATTGCATTCCTTACCCGAAGCCCCTTTCTGCTCCCCCCTCGAATGATGCGAGCTCGGGAATTACTGGGGTCTGGAGCTGGTGGCAGCAGGGGTCCCCCCCCCCCCCCCATCATGGCAGTGGAAACCAGGGTGACCTGGCAAGTCTGTTTATCCCTGCTACCTTTTCCTCCAGCTACATTGCTCCACTTTCCTCCTGGTACCATGAAGTGGAGCACTCTGGGGCTGGTGCTAGAGTGCTCCACTTCCCACTGCTGCGAGATGGATGGCAGAGCGACGTGGAGCATGCTGCGAGCCTGAACCTTGCTAGCACCCCACTCTAGGCCCCCAGGTAATCTCTTGGGGCAGCCTGGGCCTCATGAGTCCTATCCGTAGGATGGCTGAGGCAGGCATTGTGGGACCCCCTCCCGCCTCCTTCCCCCCAAAGTGCAGGGCCTAGAATGGCTGCCTGGAACTGTCCTATGAACAGAATGACTCTGCTTAGAGCCATTGTGCTGGCTGGCTGCTCAGGAGCCCCTTCTTGCCCTTCTCCCTGAGTTGGGCAGCACATTCCTCTGGCAGGGCAGGCACCAAAGCTCTGAGCTGCAGAGCTGTAAGTGCCATGGGGAGCATGTCATGGCAGGTGGGTTGTGCAAGTAGGGGTTAAGTATGGGGGATGTTGCCAGAGTTAACAAGGGATGGGTAAGAATATGTCAAAGTGCAGCTTGGAGCTGTGCCATCATCCATAGACTTATTTGACCCTGGTTATGGCCCTGACATAGTAGAATCATAGAACACTAGAATTGGAAGGGACCTCGAGAGAGAGAGAGTCCAGTCCCCTGCCCTCACAGCAGGACCAAGTACCGTTTAGATCAGATGTGGCCAACTGAGCCTGAGAAGGAGCCACAGTTTGCCAATGCACATTGCCAAAGAGCTACAGTAATTTATCAGCAGTCCCCATCAGGATCCTCCTTTCCCATCTTCAGTATCTTTTGCCCACCAGCAGCCCCACCCATCGGTGCCTCCTCTTTCTTCCCCATGCCTTCTGCCCACTGAAATCAGCTGTTTCATGGCACTCAGGAGGCTCTGGGGGGGAGGGAAAGCGCGAGGGCACAATACGCTTGGAGGAGGTGGTGGAGCCAGGAGCTGAGCACTGGAAAGTTGGCACCTGTAGTTTCAGGCCTCGAGTCGGTGCCTGAGCAAGAAGCCACATATTAACTTCAGAAGAGCCACGGGTAGCTCCAGAGCCATAGGTTGGGCCACCCCTGGTCTCAATAATGCCTGATGGATGTCTGTCTAACCTGCTCTTAAATATCTCCAGAAACAGAGATTCCACAACCTCCCTAGGCAACTTATTCCAGTGTTTAGCCATCCTGACAGGAAGTTTTTCCTAATGTCCAACCTAAATCTCCCTTGCTGCAGGTTAAGCCCATTGGTTCTTGTCCCATCCTCAGTACTCCTTCTTAGACAATCGTTTCCCATTCTGTATGTGTGAAACTGATAGTTCCATCCAAAATGGAGTACGTTACTTTTGTCCTTTTTAAACTTCATCCTCTTTATCTCAGACCATTTCTCCAGTTTGTCCAGATCATTTTGAATTATGACCCAGTCCTCCAAAGCAGTTGCAACTCCTCCGAGCTGGGTGTCATCGGCAAACTTAATAATAGTACTCTCCAAGTTGATGATGATATTGAACAGACCTGGTCCCAAAACAAACCCTTGCAGAACCCCACTTGTTTTGTCTATGAACCGTTAATAACTACTCTCTGAGAACAGTTATCCAGCCTGGTATGCACCCACATTATAGAAGTCCCATCTAAGTTGTATTTGCCTAGTTTATTGATAAGATGCGAAACTGTATCAAATGCCTTACTAAAGTCTAAGTATACCACAAGACTCGTTATCCTCAGGGTTTGCCAAACTGCAGCAAGCCCCGCTCACCAGGCCCACTATCCGGCGATCTATGCTCGCGCAGATCTGCGCATGTTCGGATCGCCCGAACCTGGCTTTTCTGGGTTGCAGTCTATTCGCCAGGGGTGAGTAGATTGCATTATTTGTCTAGCCCTGGTTATCCTATCAAAGAATGCTATCAGATTGGTTTGACGTGATAATGTTATTTACAAACGCATGCTGGCTGCTACCTATCACCTTATTTTCTTCCAGATGTTTGCAGATGAATTCCTTAATTATTTGCTCCATTATCTTTCCTTGAACAGAAGTTAAACTGACTGCTCCGTAGTTTCCTGGGTTGTTCTTATTTCCCTTTTTATAGATGGGCACTGTATTTGCCATTTTCCAGTCTTTCAGAATCCATCCTGTCTTCCATGATTTTCCATGAATGATGGGGCTCTATGTATTTTTGATGGTTGGGCTACTTTTATGACCCTTGCAAATTATCTTAATTATGATGAATTTATTTATTTTTTTCTTAGACTTTCTTTCTTTCTCTTTTCTTTCTTCCTTGTTTCTTACCTAAAAGTTGGCATTCTTGTAACTGTTCTAGAACTTAAGAATAACTTTCTGTAATTAATGCAGCAATCAAGATTCCCCTCATTCTCTGCATTTTCCCTGCAGGTGTGGTGGTTTGTTTGTTTTTGTGATTTGTTGCTTTTTGTGCTATGACTGTTAGCAAAAAGACAAACTAATTGTAAAAATGCTTGTATGTACAGTGCTTTTTCTCTGATCAGGTATGGAATTGAATACAATTATAGAAATTTAGGGCTGGAAAGGAACTCCAGAGGTCAAGTCTAGCCCCTGTGTTGATGTCCGATGAAGTAAACCTAACCCATCCCTGATAAGCTTTTGGCCTATCTTTTATTTTAAACCTCCTATGACTGAGTCCACAAACTTCCTTGGAATCAATCCGAAATTTGGTTCTCCTTGTAGTTGAAAAGTTTTCCCCTAATATCTAGCCTAAATCTACCTTGTCACAAATAAAGCCCATTGCTACTTGTCCTACCTTCAGTGGACATGAACAATCGATCACCCTCCTCTCTATAACAGCCCTAAACCCAGCTGAAAACTGTTCACTATTTAGTCCCTGCTTAATCTTTTTAAAGATGAAACAGCCAGTATTTTTAACCTTGCTTCATGGGTCAGTTTTTTAAACCTTGTATCATTTTTGGTACTTTCTCCAGGATACACTAAAATATAGCCACACCTTTTCCTTAAATGTGGTACCCAGATGTGGGCACTGTACTAGAGTTGAGGCTTCACCACTGCTAAAACAATTACCTTGACTGTCTTATGACACTTCTGTTAATATACTTTAAATTACACTAGTCTTTTTCTTGATTACAGTGATGCCTAATCCATTTTTTGAATCACCCTAACCCCAAGACCATTATGAGCAGCGGTGCCTTCTAGTTCTAGCCAGTTATTAATCATTCTGTATGTGAATTTGGTGTGAATTTGATTTTTTCCCTTTAATTTTCTAAGTGTAGCACTATGTACTTGTTTCTATTGACCTTCCCCCTCATTTTTTTGTGTGTGGGGGTGGGTGAGGAGGGAAAATTGCAGATAAATTCTCCAATTGTCAAGGTTGTTTTGACTTTTAACCCTTTTCTCTAAGTGCTTTCAATTCTTCCCAGTTTGCTGTCATCTACAGGTTTCATAAGTGTACTCTCCACTCCATTATCCAATTCATTAATGAAAATACAGAATAGTATTGGCTCAAGGTCAGATCCCTGAGCGACCCTATTAGATAACCACCCCCTCACCCTGTTTAACAGCAAACCACTGATATTTAAAGACAATTATGCACTCATTTCACAGTAATCTTATCTAGACTACCTTTTGCTAGTTGGCTTATAAGAGTCCATTTGGGACTGTAAAACCTTATTAAAATAAAAATGTATCCTACCTACTGTTTCCCTCTTACCCCGTCTTCTAGACTAGTAGAGCTGTCAAAGAAGGAAAGTAGTTTGGAAAGGCTTCATTTTTTTAACATTTATTCTAGCTATTTTGTTTAACCTTATTATTCTATAGGTGTATATAAACTGATTAATAATTTATTGGTATTAATGGGGGCTTTGTTTTTAAGCAAAAACTCCCAAAACTTAGTTTAACTGGTACAGTGGTTCTCAAGTGCTTGTGTACCTTTTTTTGAGTTATGAGTGCCCTCTAGGGGTGAAACTGAAAATTGTCATAACTAGTAGGTTTCCTAAGAATAATCCCATAGGTAAAGTTAAGATTTTGTAACTGTTATTTTTAATGGAAGTCAGACAGGATTAACCTGTCTGTGATTTTCACTAAAAATAATTGCGGGAGGGGGCAGCAATCTTACTGAGGAAGGAGAAGGACTGACAGCCCAATCCCTGTGGGGTAGGATTCACAGCCCCAGTTTCTCTGCCATGGTTGGGTAAATGGGCACAGCTCTGGCTCCAGCCCCTGCTAAAGCCACAGGGCAGGGACACACTGCAGCAGGTACAGCTGTGGGGTGGGGAGCAAGTGTACGGATAATGATTAGATATTCTGTTAAGCTGACGATGGTAGTGGAATGGGACACTCTTAGTGAATCTTGTCTCCATGTTTTCAATTTCTAATGTAAGATGTTACAATTTTTGGTATTCTAATCCTTCATGATTAGATAATCCATTTTTCTTGGTTTGCAGATGAAAACACTAAGGAAGCTTTGCAGCTGAAGAAAAGTCTGAGTGAGAAGGTTTCTCTCTACAGAGGTGACATTACATTGCTTGAGATTGATGCTATAGTTAATGCAGGTAAGAAAATGTTTAATATAATTATATTTAGAAATATACAGTTCTGATAAGGGAGGGGAAAGCTCTGTAATCAATGTTGTGGAAATCGTAACCCTTGAACTGCTTTTCATAGAGTTGGTAATATGTGTTCAGCAGATTATTTTATTCTGTGTGCCATTATTGTGAAAACTTTTTGTGAAAGCACCACTATGTGCTGGTGTACACTATGACATCACTGATCTTTATTTTATTACTTAATTTGGAAAGTTGAGTATTTACACTTCGACATCTAATTTTAGTGCTTTGCCACATTGAGATCGGACCAGTCCTGCAATATGATGTACGTGTGGCCAGGAAGTTTATTTTTAAGAGATGAGCACTTTGGCATTATCTTCTTACTGGTTTTTGTGTGTATCTTGAAGTTTTGGTGAATGGCTTAGGACCTGCCTACTTGCTTGAAAGACCATTTATCTCCCTATACTGCCAGGTTGCATTCAGCAGAGACTTGGGAGCTCTTTTGAGAAAGGGAGCTGCTGGCAGCACATTCTCCATCAAAGAAGGCTCCACTAATTAGGTGTTCACTCCCTTCCATGGTATGAAATATCCAGAATGTCTGGATCTGTACTGTTACAGTACAAAGCCCATCAGTTTAAGAATTTGTAGCAGGATAAGGCTTTTTGCCTCTCACCCCTTCTCCCCCAGAAGAGGATGGACTATGTTTGCTATGACTACTGGATGTCATAGGTGTGCTTTATTGTTCAGACTTACCTGCAAGTTGTTTTTGTTGTATTGCTTATTTATTTCAAGGATTTAGTGTTGTATGCAGAAATAATGTTAGATTTTTGTTTGTTACAATTGAGTCTTTTTTAAAATTCAACCTCATAAAATGTGTGGGAGCTGGTTGGATTGTCATAAGGATTTAAAACTGATACAGAAGTTGCTAAATGAAAAAAGAAATGTATTAATTCAAGGTATTGAATATGTATAAAATAGTTACTCTGAATTATGATATATTTTAAATTGGTGTGACTTTTAAATTGGTGTGACTTTTCCCCCCCCCATAGATATTGCCTATGGAAAACATGCCTATGTTTCTTAATGTTGTTTGTTTTATTTTATTTATGTAGAAAGTTTAATATTTTAAATCCTTCGCTGAAGGGGCAGATTCATTTCCAGCTTATTTCTTTTCAGAGCCCAACCTATAGTGTTACTCCAGTGTCATTGCTAAATGCAAGATAGAACAATAGTTAAACAATTAAGTTAAGTAAGTTAGTTACTAAACTAGCAGAATTGAGAGAGAGAGAGCGTGAGTGTGGGAGCGGGGAATCCATGAAATTGTGTTTCACTAAACTTGAAATTGTTAGCTGAGCTGCAAATACACATAAATTATTTTATGGTTGAAGCCATGAGCAGCAGGTGAAGCTTCCTCTTGGGAGGCTAGCCCCCTGCCCTGCCTCTCTCTACTGATTCCACGCTCCTGCTTGCAGCTCTCCCATAGCTGTTCAGACAGTAGAGTGAGGGGTATACAATGTAGGCTGGTTTATTCTTAAACGAATGTAAATGTCCGTAAGTCTTGCCATTAGTGGGTCAGGTACTTCACCATGCTTTTTGCAGTCATGCTTCCTTCTGAAATTTCTGGCAAATGAATTCAACTTCAGCTTTAATTTCAGTGGAAATAACTCATGTCTTAATATTACTGTAATGTGTGTTTATTACAGTGTGGTACAGAATGCTCTCATGTGCCTAAGTGCAGTTCAAGGAGCTATGCAGGCATTCTAGAATTTTAGTTAACACTGGACCGGCATGGCAGCCCACCCATTGCCTCCAGGGTCTTCCAGGGTTCCTGGCAGGGACTTCATGGCTGCTGCTGGCCCTGCTGCCACAGTGTGTTCCTCGGGGTTCCCAGCTGGGACCTCCCAGCTGTTGCCAGCCCTACTGCTGCCGGGGGGTCCCCAGCCTGGGCACCCAGCTTCCCCACCTCTGTGGCTGGCCCCGGGACCAGGGGGGACTCCGGCCGCCTGCCTCTGACAGCCTCGCTGCCAACGGGGGTTTGCTGGGATTCTTGGCTAGGGTTGCCCAGCTGCTGACAGCTTTACTGCAACAGGGGTTCCCTGGCTGAGATTCCCTAGTCACCTGGTGTTCCCTGGCCAGGGCAAGTACCCCCAATTGTTGCCTGGCCCTGCTGATGCTGGGGGTTTCCCGGCCAAGGCAGGGGCTCTCTATGTGCTGCCAGACCCATCTGAGGCTCCCAAATCTGGAGCTCTTTGGTCCAGCAACATCCATGGCCCTAAGTTAGGTGAACTCCAAAAGGCTGGCTTTATAAGCCCTCAGAGCCCATGGGACAACAGAGCACTCTATTAGTCTGAAAGATGCATTGAGCCAAGGCTCCACAGTTATTGAGGTGTTGCCTGTGGATCCTTGCTGGTGTGTGGAGTGAGTTTCCAGAACTGTCATCCTGAAGTTGAAAGAATGCATTGGGATAGGCCCTGCATGAAAAAGGTTGTGGCACATGGCGACATTCCCAATCCATGTTACGCATCAGTAACGAAGGCCTTCACCTACTTAGTTACTTGAGCAATCTTAGCTGACGGTCTACGTACAATATAGACCCCCGGTTGGATGTCACATGAGAAATGGACTTTTGTAACAGCCTCCTTCCCAAATAACAAGTGCCTCCCATATCGGTGGAGGGAGGGGGAAGCAAGGAAGTTCCTGTCCTCTGAAATACCCCATAGCCCCCGGTTTTCTGGCCATCTTTCTACTCTCCACTCTCCTGGAAAGTAAACTCCTGCACCTATGCTTCTTTAGGTATTAGACTGTTCATACAGCTCACTTTTGAGCCAACAGTCTAAATGCAATATTGAAACTCCGTTAAACTCTACCAGGGATCTTGTCTACCCTCGTAAGTTTTCTTTCACCCCCCTTGTCATTCTGATGAAGTGGTGGGGTTTTTACAGTTCAGAGCAGACAGAATCCAGATGGCTCTTGGTCTTGCATTTTGTGCCCAACATCTGCCATGAAAAGTTTAGGTGCCCTGTGCCCAACTACAGTTGCCTTTTTTGCCCCTTTTTGAAAGCTTGTAGCATTTTCCTGACCGATTCCAACTTCTGCGTAGGTAACCTTAGAAACACCCTGAATTCTTGCCAGCTGGATGCCCCGGTACATTAACATTTATACATAGAGCCTTCTGGACTCTTTTTTCCCATGGTATGGGGAGCCTGAAGTGCACAGTTAGGTTTGGAAGTGCCTTTCGCATGAACTTTTAATTGTCTCAGAGGGGCAGTGGTTTTAGTCTGTAACTTTAAAAACAAGTAATCCCGTGGCACCTTCTAACCTTACTGCAAATATGGAGTCCATCCGTGTGAGGCAAGCCAGTCTTTTGCACTACTGCCGACTCCAGCATGGAGCTGAATTGTTCAAAAGCAGCATATGACTCATGGCTTGATCAAAATAGAAATGGCTCTCAATCTGAAACCCTAGCAGGCTAAAGTCCCTGGGATGCACTGGAAACAACCAGGATGAAGACTTCATGTCATATTTTGTCAACAGTGGCCCATGGCCACATTCCCAATCCATGGCTCCTGCAGCATCAAATGACAACGAGCTCACTGAACACACCTGACTAGTGATAGAAATGTAGCCGTGTTAGTCTGGTGACTATTTTCTTCCACTATTTGATCTGAGGAAGTGGGTCTGGCCCATGAAAGCTCATCATCTAATAAACCATCTTGTTAGTCTTTAAAGTGCTACATAGTCCTGTATTTTGAACACACCTGGGGATCAATACGGTCATTTGCTTCTTAGCCTCCAAGGGTAGGACCAGGGGTGGGTCAGCCTTTTCTTCCCCTTTTGTCTTTGATACCACATGCATGGAGGGTATGTGCAAATCTGACATTAGATACATTGGAAGGGTTTTTTGATCTCCCTGTTGCTATCTAGATCTGTTCTCTAATAATATTTATAGATCTGGTTAAACATTTAGTTTCTTGATGCTCCTGTTACTAAAACTCACAGCAGAAAGCAATATCAAGATCTCTAGTCCATTGGAATTCTTCAGAGAAAATTAAGTATTGTTGAAGCTTACAGCCGTATTTTAATCCTGTCTGATCTCAGTCTAAAAGGAGTCAACCTATAACAAAATTAAATGGGAGAGACAAGGAATCCTTAGAGTATTCGAGTGATAATAGTGATTCAATACTAGTAATCCACTCTCTTAAATTAGTATTGATTGTAAAAACTGTTAAAAAACACTGTTGACGGTACTGTGCGGTTTTTGGTTGAGATGTGAAACCAAGATATTGATCATTGAAGGTTATTAAAGATCCCTTGGAGCTTTCTGTAGGATTAGAGTTAAAAGTGGATTGTGTCTTCAAACAAAAACCTGGGTTAATTATTTTGTGGTTTGCTCCAGTTTTCCCTTGTAGCTTAAGTTGGTTAGTTTCTGCAGGCAACTTTTGCTTGGAACATGGAAATAAATTCCTTGCTTTTGTTACACTTTTGTCATAACTCTGTGGAACAGCGGATCTATGGTTTAAACCCCCCCCCCCCCTTCCCAACTGTTTCTGTTGACCTTGAGGTATAATGTGATTCGCTCTGTTAAATTTTAATTATATGAAGCATTGCATCCCATGCCCAAAATTAAACTTCAAGGTAGAGGTATTTGTTATAGATTAAAATTGTGAACTGCATATATTATCTCTGAATTATGCTCAAACGAATGTGTAAGTATAGAAATGTTGACTGGCTGAGCTACACCTCCCCTTATAAACAGCTTGTTAATGTGCAATCAATCACTGAAGTTGCCTTGAACTTGGTGCTTAATGAACAGGTGGGAGGAGAGGATGAATTCTAATCCAGAATGGATCTGACAGCCTATCAGGCAATTTCACTGATTGCTAATCCATTTCATTTGGCATTTTAATTTATCGCATAGAATTTTCATCTTGTAGCTTTTGAGGAGAATTAATTCAGATGCATGCTCTATAATAGCGGGTTGAGCGGACCTGCCTGACTATTGTTAG